CCTGCTGGCAAAGGCAGCTCTCAGTCAAGAGGGCACCGTGCAAGGTCCCTCTTGATTACTTCCCACATGCCTATGTGCGCAAGAGACCCGTTTCCTCTACTCCTTTTTTAGGATCTGATGGGGGGAAAAATTTTTTTAATTAAAACAAAAGCAAAGGAAAGCAAAACAAAATCCAGAGTTTTAGAAACACATCTCTCGTCAAAATGAACAATAACCTGCCTTGAATGTCCAAGTCTCATTTCCTGTGCATAAGTGAGCAGAGAGTTCATGAGGGGGGAGCAAAGCCAAAGAGGCATGCTGGGGGACGGAGGAGGAGGGGGGACACTACCGTGCCCCCTCATCACCCACGCCCCACAGGACCCTTTAGGAAGCTGCATTCTTAGGGGAGAAGGGAAATGGACTGTCAGGGACTTCTCATTTCCTGCCACCTCTGGCTTGTGTGAAACAGTGGGCTTATTAGCAAGAGGACTAGAAATCTCCAGACAGGAAAAGTTCCATTATCACTAAAGTGCCAGAAAAAGAGGGGTGGGAGCCAGTGGAGAGGCAGAATAAAAGGTGTGCGCGCACAGGCTTTTAAGAAACATGACAAGAACCCACAAAGCCTCAAACAAACTATGCTTGTCTCCAAAACATCACAGAATTGAATGCTAGCTTCTGAAGCATGTCCTGCTTTGGGATCACAATTATCCAGCCAAATTCCAAAGAACCATCCTAACTGTTTTCAATGGCGTACGGAAAACAGAGCTGAGCGGCTCTACTAGCCCGTGTGAGATTGCTAGCACGTGCCACTGTTTCACCAGCAACACCTCCAACACCCACCCCCATGTGGACGCTCCCTCATCTGTGCAGGGCCTGCACCGAGACACACGTCCTGGCTTCTGTTGTCACCAAAATCAGGCAGCAGCTGCACACAGGTGTGGCCTACTTCAGCCTTCTAAGGTGAGGAGTTTTAAAATATTTTTAAAGTGATTTTTAAACATACCTCTGTGTCCATTCATGGTCTCTGACACTCGGAGTCAAATTAATTGCCAAGGGACCCCAGAAGGAAGCGGGAGAACTTCTACTACTGTACTGCTTACCCAGCTCTATAGCCAGGAAATCCCAACTGCTCACTAGAGCCCAATTATTAAAATTAGTAAATCTTGTTTGAAGAATCCAGAACTCTCACATTGGAGGAGATTTTAGAGACCACCTATTGTGTCATACAGTGTCAACTGTGCCATACGGTGAAGTGAAGCAACTTTGCCCGGGGCACGGCCGGCTTGGGACAGAGCTAGGACAGAGGTCCCGGCATCACTGCGCCTCTAGCCAGGGCCTCCAAATGAGCAGACTCACCTGACCGCTCACTCACTGCTTCCCTCCAGGCCAGCGGCAGAGTTCACGGTCAGGGCTGCCTCTCACTGTGTGAGGAGGGACCACTCTGCATCTTAAGGGCCATTTCTGCTCGTCTTACCTGCTTCCTCACCGTACTTGCACTTGAACAGGTAACACGTATCTCTAACAACTACATACTTCCCAAGGGAGGAAGACGGGAGGAACACATTGCTTCGAGTTTTACCTTTTTAAGCCAAGAGTGAAACCTGACTCAGGTTTCTCTTTTCACCCAACAGACATGCCTGGGATGCACATACCTGGTTAGTAACAAATATGCCCCAGCCATTTATACAACAAATCTACATTTTCAACAAATCTTACTTTCGTTCATGAGGCGTCTCTGTGCTCACTGAGTGATACCTCACAAGTTTCCTTTGCAAGACCCCTGGAGATCCCTGTGCCTGCTGCAGAGGCTGCTGGCATTCCACGGGGACGTGACTCAGAGTGTTGGCGCGCCTCCTGAAGCCCTGCTGGGGTGACAGCAGGGCTGGCTCTTCTGCGGCGTGGCTCTCTGAGTCACTGGACAGGTCATCCGAGGAGCCCAGGAGCCTGAAGGAGCTCTCAGAGATGGGAAAGGCCTCCTTTTCACACACAGACGGCTCCTGGCAGCAGACAGACAGCAGATCAGACACATGGCAAGGCACTTGTGGGGTTTACACATCTCTAATTCCAGCGGCAGGAAAACATTTCAAAATGTAGGCACATCTTCTGATCACAGTGCCATCTAGAGGCCACCAAAAGTATAAGACGATAAAGGCCCACTAAATGCCTGCTCCTCAGAGACAAAATGTTAGTGTGCAGGACAAATGGGGAAACTGTTCAAGTGCAAGTGTGAAGGACATAAATTATAACAAGTAACTGCCCTAAGCAAAGCTGAAATAGTTCTCTTTCTAGAAAAGAGAGCTCTTTACTACTGCCTACAACAAGTATAGCGAGTGCCGTGTAACTTGTCTGCACAGTTTAAACAAATCAAGTTCTTTATCTTGGCCAAGTGTGTTCATACATGTGATACCCACATTTTATGGCTCTCTCTGAATTTGATCTAATGTTTGGATTTAACTTGGTAATCTTGAGTGTTAAAAATTACATCCTATATTATTCTTAGATATGGAAAATCTCTCTCTAGGCACTTACTGACATGATTCAGGGCAAATCACTTAACTTCTTTCTGCACCTCAATTTCCTCATCTGTAAAAGGGTATAGTGAAAATTTATCTCACCAGGTTTCAGAATTAAGCAAGATAATGCAACTAAAAGTACTTGTCTGCTGTTAAATGTTATATAAATATAAGTTACTGTCTTATTAGGCACTCAGTGAATTTCCTGAGTGGGTACTCAAACATTTGTTGAGAATCATGACAATATTTTAATATCGTAGGCTCTCAAGATGCATACTTTTTCAAAGGAATGAACTACCACCACTCATGCTTAGCACTGCATGCCCAGGATGTGGTAGGGGCCAATATATTTTTCTCAAATCAAAAAATATAAAATAACTGATGTGTAAAAAAATTGATGACTAATAAGAACCTGCTGTATTAAAAAAAGAATATATATACATACATATATACGTGTATATATGTATATGTGTGTGTGTGTGTGTGTGTGTGTGTGTGTGTGTGTGTGTATATATATAAACAAGAAGTGTACCAGCTTGTCCCTGCTGAAATTACTAGAAGGGATGAATAAATCAACATGAAAAGAGCAAAAAGGAATGAATGCATCTAATAACGGTGGACTGGAAAATCTAAATTCCACCTGTTCATTTGACCTGCAGTTGAGTGTCTCTTAGATGATAGGTATTAAGGATTTTAATTTTAAAAATTAAATTTATGTTTATTGAGGAGAAAGGTTATATACACTTAATTTTGTAGGAACTAGATTTAAAAAGCTTAATTCCCAACACATTATGAAATGTTAAACAGTAACTTAACTTTTTCATTCTTCAGGACTCTACAGTTACCAAGATTCTTTTAATTTAAGGCTTTAAAAATGCGTTTAAGACAATTCATCAAGCAATCTCCATCACGCAAACCTATTCATCAACTCTCATTAACGTCCTTCCAAATTATGTGGAAGAGCTAACCCTTAGCTTCATCTAACACCTGAAAGGGCCACTGGACGTTCAGCTTCTTTGCTTCCAGACGATCAATTTACTGGAAGAGATCCAATTACATAAAAGCACACTTTTACAACAGTTTCTCAACGTCAGGATGAACAAACGACATAAAGAATAGCATATAGCCACACATACAATACACACAAATAGGTTCTGAAAAGCTGCATTTCCCTTAGAATTACCCTAGAAATTCAAACCATGTGTATAATCCTAGATCTGTGATTTGAAGAATAAAAAACAAGCAATAAGACTTACTGGAAAAGTCACTTGAGTGACATGAATTTCTTCACAGCACCTTTACTGGAACTAGTCTGGAACGCCCTCTTCCCTGTCCACTTCCACAGGTGCAATTCCTATACTTTCTCCAAGATTTATCAGAAGCACTACTGCTCCCCTCTCCAAGCTTTCTCCGGTTCCACTGACCAAAAATAGCTCCCCTTCCTCTTGCTCCTGTGACAGCTAAGCTACCGTGGCTCTTATTTGAACTCAGGCTCACAGCTACTCTACTCGATGCTGGTGTATCTGTCGCCTCTCCTACCAGATGAGTTCCTTCCTGCAGGGTAGAAGCTCTGTCTTTTTCATCTGTATCCAGCAGATAAAAAAAAACCCAAAACATTCCCAAACTTCTAATGAATTGTGCGTACAATCAGTATGGAGGAGATGAATTTAAATAGACCACTAGATTCTAACTTAGAAAATCACATTCAGGGCATTCCCTGGTGGTCCACTAGATTCTAACTTAGAAAATCATATTCAGGGCATTCCCTGGTGGTCCAGTGGCTAGGACTCCACACTTCCACTGCCTAGGGCGTGGGTTCAATCCCTGGTCAGGGAACTAAGATCCCGCAAGCCACACAGCACAGACTCCCCCCACCCCTCAAAAAAATAAAATCATATTCAGAAGACTGGGGTCTAGGGACTTGCTCCCCTAAGTGGGTCCACAGACCAGCGGCATCAACATCACCTTGGAGCTTGTCAGAAATTGGCCATTTCAGGAATCACCCCAGGCCTACTGAAACAGAATCTGCATTTTAACCAGATCCCATTAAAGATGCACCTTACAAATTAAGAAAGCACTCAACTGAGGCAGTGTTTCTCAAACTATAGGCTGTAACACATTGGTAGGCAGTGATATCAATTTCGTGGTCTGCCACAAACTTTTTAAAGTAATAGCAAATACCAGTATGTATCACATGCTTACAGTAAATATCATTTTGTGAAATCTTATTTTCATTTTATCTGTGAGCACGTAGGTATGCGTGTTTCTGAACTAGTTTGCAATGTTAAATGTGTAAATTACTGTTGGTTATGGTCTAAAACCTTTGAAAGCAACATGCCCAGGAGGAAGCACAGAAGAACTTTGATTCCACAACAACTCCCCCTCTTTCCATCCCAGGGCACTCTGACATCCCCAGCACAAAACCCGAAATCCACTTTTCTGGTGGTTAAAAAGTTGAACTAACTAGGTTTAAGTACGCTTATATATTTAGAAAGCAAGAAATTAAAACAAGGACATAGACACAGGTCTGTTACCAAAGAGAACTGCTGGCTTGCTCACTATCACAAAGCTGTGCTTGGTGGCAGATGTGAGGGGTGAGGCTTATTTATAAAAATAGTGATGTTTAATTATAATCATAGAGTCAGGCAGAGGACAGAGTAAGTTTCAGGAATTTAAGTTGCATACTTCTCATAATTCGTAAACCCACGTTTGAGGTTTTCCCAATTATTTTTAATATTTCATTTAGATTTCACTGGAAAACCTACTAAAGAAAGAAATCCATTGATCACTTGTGATTAATTAGATCTCAGTGGCCTGAAATTGTGCTTTTACCTCTTTGCTTACGGAACAGCCCTCTGTTTTGGTACGTACAACTTTTTGGCTAGAGTAGGACTGCACAACCAGCCCTCCACCTGCATTATGAAGTCCGGAAGCACCAAATTTTTATGATTGGAGCTATGAGGCTTCTTTTGTTCCTTTTGATAGGCCCGGTATATAGGAGATGAGCAAGACCCATTTGCTGGTTTCTTCAGGGTGTCATATAAAAAAAAAACGTGCTTACTTTGCTGGTGTTACTTAATGTGCTAGACACGGAGTTGTCCAGATCCAGACTGGCGGAGTGCTCCTGGAGGCCTCTGGCTTTATTACCCTATGGAAAGAAAAGCAGTCGAGTTATGACCCCTGAGGCTTTTGCAAAGGCATCTGCTAGAAGCAACCTGGTCTATTTAAATAAGTTCAGGAAAAATGCATCTACTGGGAAACTCTGCTGAGCACATATGTGCATGAAGACAATCAACATTTGTCTTTTTTTTTTTTTTCTTTTAACCAAACTAAATGTTCCAAAGCACCTTGTGGGTTAGTCATTTGGCAGGGATGATGGGCAGAAGAGACAACATGTCTAGAAGAAAAGCAAGCGCTGAAGTGCGCACACTCAACAACAGAGTCCCCCCTCTGAGTCACACGGTGTCATGACCCGCCAGCCTATGACACACAAACCACAATCTCTCGGTCTGGGAGCTCTCAAAGGCAGCCCCACCCCAACTCTGGTTTTGTTAAATGAACTGCTTTTAATTATCTGTAAGGCTGCTGTGAAATTCTCAGAAACACCTTCATACAAAATAAAATTTATAACAAATAAAAAAGTTTCAAATGGAGTGGTTCATGAAATAAAAGGTAACTATAAGAAGATACTGCAAGCTCTAGAAAGGCGTGAAACTTTGAGAGAAAACAGAACTTTTATTTCTTAGTGTAAAAGGTATTTACACTCACGCTGGGGTTGGCGTGGGGTGGGGGGGGGAGCGGGGGTTGGTAGTAACTTCTTAAAGAACTCCCAGATCGGTACATACGTATACTCTCTTCTTCCTATAGAGCTGCAGGCCACAAACTTTTTCCGTAAAGGGCCAGATAATAAATCTCTTATGCTTTGTGGACCATATGGTATCCGTGGCAAGTACTCAACTCTGCAGAAAAGCAGGCTTAGACAATAGGTGAATGAATTGATGTGGCTGTGTTTCAATAAAACTATATTTACAAAAACAGGAGGTGAATGGTATTTGACCCAAGGACCACAGTTTGCAGATCCTGCTATAAACAGTTTCAGGCACATAACAATAGCAGCTAATGATAAAAAAATTTTTATAATGTAATCAGAATTATTATTTATTTATTTAAATTTATTTGTTTGTTTATGTATTTTATTTTTGGCTGCACTGGGTCTTCGTTGCTGCACACGGGCTTTCTCTAGTTGCGGCGAGCAGGGGCTACTCTCATAGCGGTGCTCAGGTTTCTCATTGCGGTGGCTTCTCTTGTTGGGGAGCACGGGCTCTAGGCGCGTGGGCTTCAGTAGTTGTGGCTCGCCACCTCAGTCGTTGTGGCGCGCAGGCTCAGTAGTTGTGGCGCACGGGCTTATTAGTTGCTCCCCGGCATGTGGGATCTTCCCGGACCAGGGCTCAAACCCATGTCCCCTGCACTGGCAGGCAGATTCTTAACCACTGCGCCACTAGGGAAGTCCCACGATAACAGTTTTTAAACTGTACCTAGTGACACTAGGGAGAATGAAACCCACACCTTGGTGTATCTAACCCATGCTCTTTACAGGGACTGGTCAACAAATAACATTCTTTTGGGAGACAAAAATTCCATAGAATACAAAAGAGTAGAAAACACTTTTTAACCCGGACCAAGTTAAAAACTAAATTTTCAGTGTAGATAACATTTTTCTAACACTGAGAGGACACCAAAAAAGGTTTCACCCTTCTAAACTGTATGATGAACACTGATGGAACGAAAGCAAAGAACTGAATTTCATGCTCTCTCAAAAACAGTGATTTAACTTAAAGTAGGAGGAATTATGCCACTTACCCGGGACAAAATACTTTCTAAAGACTCCGTTAAAGATCTCTTCGCTTTGTTTTTCAGCATATCTAGCCTAAATCGAGTGGCACTAGATGGTAATTCACTTCCAATATTCTCTGCTGCAATCTGTGATGCCTAAAAAGTGAAACAATGGAAAATTAAGTCACTTAAATCTTCCTTACCTCCTTCTTTCCTTCCTTTTTAAAGGACTGAAAAATCTCTAGAATGCATCTTTTTGACCTCAGGTCATTTTTTCTGTGACCTCTTCTCATCTGCTCTTTGGTGACATGACTGCAAGTCCAGGAAATAATTTTGCCTCAAAGAGTTGCTTTGCCTACTCCAAACAAAATAAGGAAAAGTGCTTAGAAACTAATCAGTTAACAAAGCAGTTTACAGCTTGGGCTCTGCGGCTGGATCAGAGACATGCCATTCACTAGCTGTGGCCTTGAGCAAGTTTCTTACTTTCTCTGAGCCACAGTTTCATCTTCTGTAAATTGAGATCAACCTCACGATCTAACCATAGTGCTATGTTGTGAGATTAAAACACATAACGCATGTAAAACATTGGGCACAGCTTCTGGTACAAAGGTAGCTATGATTAGCTTTTCAAAGTAAAGTAACAACTTACTTTTGGGGGCATTTCACAGGGTGAGACAAAATAAATCTAATCAACTGAAGAATCCATCCTCTCTGCCAACACTAATCCCTTCGTCCCCTTCTACAGAATCCTGTCTTTTTCCTCTCTCCCACCTATTGTTTCCATCATCCCATTCATTCCCCTCTGCAACCAAGTCTCTCCCTTAACTGATGGGAACATGAAACTGACAAACATAAAAGTTTGTTTGCCAATCACAAAATGAAGTTTAATGTTACTTGTTAACAAAGAGGTATGCTTTAAAAAAATACAAAAAAACCTCTACTCTAGATTAAATTGTTTCTTCTATGGATTCTTACCTGAATGCTTCCTGCTAGATGATGATTTTGTTAGAAAAATACTCAACCACATCCTCCATTACTCTAAACACCAACTATTCTTTGTTGTTGTTACGTATGTCAAGCATACAGAAAAATGTGCAGATTAATACAATAAATGCCTTCATACCACCTCCAGCTTTGGCCAAGTTAACATTGTGCAGGCGTTGAGAAGAACAGTGATGAGCACAGGCTCTGGCAGTCACTCAACAAATACTAAGTCATGTAGCATGGGTGGATGCCTGACTAGTTGCAATTTGGTCCTGTGCAATCATTTACCAAGAGTAAGAGCCTATGCAGACTGGAGTCAGCCCCTAGAGCAAAGGGAATCACCCACAAAGAACCCTCAGGGGCCTGCATTTGACTCAATACCAGTTCACTCACGAAGTTTAGGAACTGTAGACCTGCTTTCAAACTCATAATCAAAGTTTTCCTAAAAAAGAAGCATTTTTAACTGTTCTGATATATACAAAAAATACTGGCTAAAAGACTAGCAGAACATAGTAGATCCTACAGAGAAAGAAGAAAAACTGCACTTGTGGGCTTCCCTGGTGGCGCAGTGGTTGAGAGTCCGCCTGCCGATGCAGGGGACACGGGTTCGTGCCCCAGTCCGGGAAGATCCCACATGCTGCGGAGCGGCTGGGCCCCGTGAGCCATGGCCGCTGAGCCTGCGCGTCCGGAGCCTGCGCTCCGCAACGGGAGAGGCCACGGCAGTGAGAGGCCCGCGTACCGCAAAAAAAAAAAAAAAAACCTGCACTTGTGTTTTTCTTTTTATAAACCAGGCCATAAGAATCTCTATATACTTAATTCAGTGCTGCTTCTGCTGTCCTCTACTATCTAAAAAGGTTCTTTTCTAGGCCTATCACTGTAATTCAAATGCAGTCTGAAAATAATTCACATTTAGAAAATAATTCACGTTTAGAAAATAATTTGCATTTAGAAAATAACACACTCCTTGTTTATTTTAAACTAAGCATCTGGAAGTTTCTCGTTTGAAGATGATGCTGGTTCTTGGATAAGTTTCTAGTATGGGGCTCTAGAGTGAATTTGTACTGCAGTCCTCACATTGTCCATCCTAAGACAGATGGATAAACTCTAAGCATGAACGTTTGGAGCCAAGTTTTAAATTCTGAAGCTACTATGAAGTTCTCAGTTCAGAACCCACCATCCAGTAGTGTCACAATGTATTCACCATCAGCCTTATTCAGAATAACCAGCACCTAGAAATAGCTAAGGTGCCCATCAAAAGGAGAATGGAGAAACAAACTGTGCTATTGACACAATGGAATAAAAAGGAACATAATTACTGATTTATGAAGCAACAAGGACGAATATCAAAAACATTATGCTAAGCCAAAGAAGCCAGAACTAAAAGAGAACATACTGTATGATTCCATTTATAGAAAGTTCTAGGACAGGCAAAACTAATCTGTGGTAGAAAAAAGAAAAATCAAAACAGTGGTTGCC